CATTTGGGTAAAAAAAATGTGTGTATATATATGTTTTTTTTTTGTCACATTTGTTTTTAGTGTGAAGTTGGTCTTAAATTTCCTTTCAAGTGGCATTAAAAAGCATTATAAAGTCTTAGATTTAACTTGCTTTAAGCTGTAGGAACCCTGCTTCAGCAATATGTTATCAGTTTGAAAGTGTGTGTGTGGACATGCTTTTCTACCTGGTGTGGACGATTTTGACCATTTTCCCAGTACACATACCCTGATGAGGGTCAGAGGTTTGATTCAGGACTACAGTCTGAATTGACGTCAGTCTTGGGGTCAGTGGTCAGGGTTAGGCTGCAGAAATGACCAATGAATGAATGGAAGTCAATGCAAAGTCCCCCATGAGGACAGAAGAACAAACGTGTGTGTTTGTGTGTGTCTTTTTTATTTTTTTCTTCTGTTTTTTTTACCACTTCAGTAGAAAGCAGTACTAAATATCTGAATATTAGTATCTTAGCTTCTTAATCATCAGTGATTTTTTTTTAGATAGACAAGAAAGAAGACAAAAGAAAAGAAAAGAAAAAAGAAGGAAAGGAAAGAAAAGTTACAATGTAATGGAAAAAAGTGAAAGAAAGAATTGATGATATGTGAGATATACGTCAAGAAAACAATACAGTCAAGAAAAAGTAAACTGTTTTTAGAGATTTCTATAAAGCATTATACACCCYGCAAACAAATCCGTCAGATGAGGACATTAATCACTTTTCAGAAAAAATAACACTTCCAAAATTATCCTGTGTGTGTGTGTGTGTGTGTGTGTGTGTGTCTACTGCAGACAATTCCAGTTGAAGGACGTGTTTTTAAACTGAAATCCTAATCAAGAAATTAGTTTTTGAGGTTTCAATGCCCTCACAGCTCACACACACACAATTATGTGTCTTCAGGCAGACTCACACACCTTAAAATAAAGAACACAGTAATTATCTTTGGAGGACATTCATTTTAGTTTCTGTTAACACGCGTATAGATTGCCAAGATTTCCTGAATCAAAGGTTTGTATGATGCATTTGGACATGTATCAAATGGTTTTGGGCTCATAAATGCACCAAAAAGCTTCTTTCATGTTGCATTTTCTTTTTGAAAAAAAAAAAAAAAACGTTTTATTCATCATAGCACTTGAAAATATACAAGTTTGTTTTGCTGAACCGTGTGCACCTGGAGGGCTGTTTATTTAGTTTTGGGATTTCTTCAAAGGGAATTCTTTAAAAAGTTATGTTTCCAGCACAACTCCTGAYAGACATTTAGGATTCTGCAGTAAAAACATTTTTTTAGAGATTTGGCTTATTGTGTCGTAGATTGCATCCTTTGCCGATGCATCACGTGGATATCTTGTCGAAGGAAAATGTTCATCTAAAGAAAAAACTGTCCGTTCTCATTGTTGTCCTGTGAATTACTTTGGGGACAGAAAAGGAGACAGTTTGATGTTTAGGCAACAACGGAGACGACGGTGGATTTATTTTTCTCCTGAAACTTTACTGACATGGTGCAGACACATTACCTGTCTCCTCTTTGTGCTCAGGTCTGTGCCTGTTTCAACTGATGAAGACATTGCTGTTGGCTGCTTTAAAAAAAACAAATTATATACAACACCGGCACTGAATGCAAACATCTGCAGAGCACTAACGAGCTGAAGATGATTGTTCGAAGGCTAAAAGATTCTACAGCAGATAAACAAAAGCACTTAAAATATACACCTGTTTGCAGATGAATAATTTCTGTGATTTTTCTAGTYTTCATCTTGAAGAAAAAAAGTCTCTTTCTTTATTAACCTTATAGAAACACAGCTTAAAGGAGCAAATGGCTTCTGTTGTTCAGCTTATTATTAGTTTAAGATACATTTCCTTAGCAAGAAATCCAGCTTTAGTTACTGCAGTGTTGTGAAATAATAACGAGCTCTGAATGCGAAGCTATTAAATTTAGGGGAATCTTCTAGCAGAGCCTGAGTTAACATTAAAAATTGACCTCAAATTAAAGCYAATTAATTCTTGTCTTTTAAAACAGAAATTGGTGCTGTTGGATTTATAATTACCTGCAGATGGTTTTTGTTTGTTTAGAAAACAGTTAGGTTAGATATGTGCTAATAAATTATGAGTACAAAAGTTTCAAAAAATAAGACTTAAAGGCACAGTGTGTAGGATTTGTTGTTTTCAGCGACATCTAGTGGTTGAGTGGTTGAATCATCCTCCCTGGTCCTCCCCCCACCCCCACCCCCCCGCTTCCAAACACAAAGGAGTTGCTACGGTGTCTCTCAGGTGTCAAAAACCTTTGATAATTCCAACCGCGATGTCTACCAGCAGCTTCAGGGCTAGTGATGTTTCAAGTGGTAAGATTATGAGCTTTAATAAGTCAAATTATCCCAGCTACAATGACAGACAACAAATATTAC